TGCAAAATGACCTGTCAGCTTACTGGAAATAAGGAGATTTCTAATATGGAAATTATTAAAAGCATTTTCTAAGCTCCACAAACAGAGCAATGAATTCAGATGTCAAGGTGGCTGCCCAGGCTTCCTTGCCTCAGCATTGAGCTGCGCAACAAAAAGATCTGGTGAGGAGGGGACATATAAATGATGAGAGGCTTTTCCTTTAGAGAAAGCAAGTAGGTTAAGATTAGGCTTGTACTTCAGAAGGGGAGTGAATAAAAGGCTGCCTGGCACAAAGCAGATTGACCAGGGCTTTCCTTTCCCCTTTCACATCATGCAAATGTAAAGCAACAGACAATGATTTGCATTGCTTTAAAGAAAGGACTACATGAGGAACTGGAGCTTTAATTAATCTGCAGGCACTGCTTGCTGCAAAGTGTTGTAGTGGTGAAATATAGAAAGGATCAAAGCACGGGGGAGGTGAAGCATCTTTAATGAAGGAGAAGACACCCACAGCCAGAGCCACCAGGACAAAGGTAGGGGAAAATCAAAGTCTTTGTGGGTTTGTGCTTATAAAAGCCGCTGACTAAGAAGGTTTGGGGTGGATTATTCCATACTGAACAATGTGTGGAATCTTCTGAAGGCTCATCTGGCTGTATTCAGGGAGGAGAGACCAAGGTGGATGGACAAGCTGGCCCTTGCTGAGGGTGGGGGCTCCTTTCTGCTGGGTGGAGGACACAGGCTGTAGATGCTGCTGCGGGAATGATGGAGCTCAGGAAGAGCTACCCAAGGACTCGCTGCTGCCCACCTGAGTGACCTCCAATTTCCAGGGTTATCCCTGTGTTTCCTTGTTCATCCTTAGTCTTCTTGAGTGTTTCTTCGCTGTCTGCCATGGGACATTCTTTCTTGTCCTTACTGTGAGTGCAGGCAACTTCTTTGTTCAAGAGAAGGAGCTTGTCCTTCAGCCCACTCCAGGATACACTATCACACACCAGCTGGGTCCCATTTCTCAATGTATTCCTACTATCCCACCCCATGCCAAGAAAGCAATCCCATAAAACACCATCTTAGAGGTCTCCTTCTCTGAGGGTATCTTGACTATGTATTAGAGTTACTTGAAAAAGCATCTACCACCCCCCTTGGGCTCCTGTTTCTCATGAGCATGAAGGATGCATTTCAAGCTCTCCTGGTAGGACAGACAGGAACCCATGGGGAGGCCAAGTGTCTCTTTGGGAAGGTCTCTCTTTCTGTCCACTGAATACAGAAGGATCTGGGCTTCAAGGGTTACAGACCTAAGGTCTATATAGCTGAAAGGAACCAAATATTCCCAAACGTGGCAATTGCTGCAAGATTTCCTAGTTGGGTTTTTTCTTCTTATTTTTAATATGGAAAATCAAACTGAGCTGAAATAAAATCTTTCCAGGGGCATGTGTGGATTCCATCAAGATTTTGCAAAGAAAGGATTTTGTCTGGATGGCAACACATCATTTCTGGGGGTTGTTTCCACTTGGTGTCCAATAGGAACTCCAGCCTCCCAAGGATGGTGTTGGAGGTGTACAAGGAGCAATACAGACCCCCTCCAAATTCCATGTCCTGCACTGATTTGGTGCTTCCTCTCATTTGGGCATCTCCTCACTCCCTGGTAGAGCTGCTGCCTGCACGAGTGGCTGGGGACAAGAGGTCCTCAGAGAAGCTGTGGCTGCCCCATCCCTGGCAGTGTTCAAGGCCAGGTTAGACACAGGGGCTTGGAGCAACCTGCTCTAGTGGAAGGTGTCCCTGCCCGGGGCAGGGGTTGGAGCTGGAGGAGCTTTAAGGTCCTTTCAACCCGAACCATTCTGTGATTTTAAGTCCAGGCCAACATGCAGGAATGCTGCAGGATTTACATCCCTGGCTGAGCCGGGAGAACATTCCCAACCTTTGGCAGGACAAGCTACTAATAAATTTGTGGGGGGTTTAAGGCTGTGGAGCTCTTTTCACTTTACTCTTTTGGTGCTACATCCTTCAGGGAAGCTGAGGGTGCCCAGCACACATCCAGGGGAGGAAAACTTGGTTCATATTACACATCAAGATCTTTAATGGGAAGAAAACACAGAATGGTTTGGGTTGGAAAGGACCTTAAAGATCATCCAGTTCCAACCCCCTGCCATGGGCAGTGAAGCTGAAGACCCTACCAGAAACCAATAAAACCAAGTAAAACACAACAGATCCCTCACAGACTCGTCTGCAGTAAAAGGCTTTATTTAATAACCTTGCAAAGTAAAACTGCATTTAAACTGTGATGGGAAGAAGACAGCATCAAAAGGTTTTGGCAATGAAACCCTCATTCCTGTTCATCAGCCCTGGAAAGCTCCCGAGCCTGGGATCCGTGGATTTTTATGACAACTGGGAGACTGAAAACTTGGCACTGGAGAGGAGAAAGGGATTAGCAAGATGGACACAACGTCCAGCCTTGTGTTCCTTACGCAAGCAGCTATTTCACTCCGATGACTGCGGAACACTCAGCTGAAAGAGGCTTTATTCAGGAGGCTGAAAATCCCACAGCTCTTCTGAGGTGAAGCGTTCACAATAAACATCTCAACCATCTGAAGAGCCATAAAGTCAACACGAAAGGGGAGATACTATTTTTCAGCTCAAATGTGTGCTTGGAAATGGGTGAGAAAGAGATTTTTTCATAAGAAACATGAAAAAAGCACAGTCATGATTTAGAATCCCAGAGTGGTTTGGGATGAAGGGACCTTAAAGATCCTCCAGTTCCAACCCCTGCCCTGGGCAGGGACACCTTCCACTAGAGCAGGTTGCTCCAAGCCCCTGTGTCCAACCTGCCCTTGAACACTGCCAGGGATGGGGCAGCCACAGCTTCTCTGGGCAACAAAACTGCTCTTAAATAGGAGATTTCCTTTTCTTCTACTATTTTTCACCTCCTTCACTCTGGATGAGAGGTACATTTTGAAACTGCTACTTAGCCCTTGGGTTTCTCCCACCCTTTGTCATGCCAAGAGGTTCCATCCCCCAGGTAATTTGGCTGAAAGCAGAGAACTTAAACCACACTTCAAAAATTCCAAGTCACTTGGTCCTTCTGGAGGGCTGGTTTCAGTAAAGTGCTTAAATGGGGCTTTGACTTCAGTGAAGTTATTTCCTGACTGGAGGCCTGACAGAAGTCTTCAATTCCAAAAAGGAAACGACTTCTGTAAAGGTTTCCAAATTTGGGCTCAAAAGCATAAAAGAGCAACTGATTGTTTTAGCAGAGGAACTCAAATATTCCTCACTAAGCACAGAACACTATTAGTCCATGCTGTGGTGTAGACAGCTCCTTGTGGAAAGGTGGGAATTACTCCATGAATCCTGCTTTGGAGTAACTGCTCTGACTTAAAGGCAGTGGAAGGTCCAACTCTGGAATAAGAAGTGTCCTTGAAGTTATTTGACAGCAGCTTCTCTGATGAATTTAGTTTCTGTCCTAACCTACATGAATCTCTTACCACTGGCAGCCCTTGGCTATAAGCATTTCCCCTCCTCGTGTAGATGAGGCGTTCAGCCTCAAAGTGATGGACAGGCCATGACTGGGTTTGCCACCCACATGCTTTGATGGCTTTTGCCTCTCCAGCCAGGCAGGAAGGTTCTGGATGTGTGTGTGTCCTCCTCCATCCAGACCTTTCTCTGCATCCACAGAGCAACTCAACCAGAGCCATGGGCTGGGTACGCGTTTGGCCAAGAGACAGCAGTGGAAACCAGCCAGAAGGGAGGTGTGGAGAGATGATGGTCCACAGCGAGGAGGGAAGGAGCTTGACAGTCTGGTTATGGGTTTTTGTTAAGAAAAATCATGGAGGAATTCAAGTGAAAAATGGCTTTGTGGGTGATAGGAGAGGCCTCCTTCCAAGGAGAGGAGCAGAAGGAACAAGGGAGACACTTGCTTGGGAAGACGTGAAGAAGACAGACATTGCTGGCTGAGCCAGAAGAGCTGTAAGGCTTTGGACACCAAAAATGAGTGGAGTGGACATTGCTTCTCTGAATAAGGACAAGTAGCCTGTGCTAGGGATAAGCAAGACGGAGCACAGAGGGGGGTGTGAGGCATCCCAGCCCATGGCAGGGGGTTGGGACTAGATGATCTCAAGGTCCTTTCCAACCCAAACCATTCTGTGATTCTATTCTATGACATGGTTAAAGCAGTGGATTGGGGAAATCATTTTTGTACCAGCTCTCCAGCAGGATGGAGGAGAATGTGCCAAGGTTGGAGATGGCAGAGGGCAGAGAGCCAGGGCAGGGACTGAGCTGTGGAGGGTGAACACGTTACCCATCAGCCTGGCTGGCAGGATGGCTCATGGCAAGCTGGAAGAGGCAGATGACAAGTATGTCCCAATGGACACGCTGCACAGAGGGAGAAAACAAGTGGCCAAGCTGGAAATGCCAAGGGAAAGCAAGATCTTATGGAGAAGAGTGCAACTGGTGTTGACAAAGATGCCCAGCACAGCAAGGCTAAGACAAGAGTTCCTGAGTTTGGCCAGGAAGAGCTTGATGAATCTTTGGGGGAGTGGGGGGAAGAGCAGAAGCTGGAGAGAAGAAGACAACAGGGCAGACCCAGGGTCTGTCAGTGCCACAGGAAAGAGGGGACAGTAGAGACACAGGACGGGAGATCCAGACACCAAACTGGATGCTGCCACTTCTGCATCTATGAAGGAGGGAGGAAGGATAAGCAGGGGGAAGGCAACCTTGGGAGACACCATGGAGTATTCGGAAGATATTAAAAGCCATCGGTGTTCAGATATCACAGTGATGAGAACTGTAAAATTCCTGGGATTAGTATCAGGATATAATTCATGGCTCAAAAGTACTTTGCAATATAGACAAATATTCCCACTGGAGGTGTGAACTTAATGACAGAGTTAGGAAGGGACGAGCTTAACACAGGCCCCTTCCTGAAAGTGTTTGCTGCCAAACACATGGAACTACTGGATTTTCAACAAGCAGCAAAAGGTAAATCCCCCTGGACCCTTCAACATTCCCAGTCTTGTCTCTACACAGATTTTTACCTGGGGCGTAGCCGGGGCTGCTGGTTGGATACATGTTTGGGTTGTAGGCTGGAGCAGCGGTGGGATAGCCCGTTGGATAACCTGCAATGAGAAAGAAAGAGAAATGATGGTGTTACAACATGGAGAGAAGAGGACAGCACCCCTGGAGAGCAGCAAACAACCTGTGTGTGCAAGGAGGCCATTGGCACAGCTGAGAGGCAAAGTACAGATGTATTCTCACAGTACAGGAAGGAGTGTGAATGTGCCCTACAGACGAACAAGTGACACCATCAATATTTCATCTCTGTTCCTCTAGAAAACAAGGGCAATAACCAGAACGCAGAACACAGGAATGCTCAATGTGCTCTGCAGAAAACTACTGAGAAAATACAGACACTGAACGTAGAACTGAGCTGTGAGATATCCGCCAGCACAGCTCTGTTTGAAACGTTCTCCTTGGCTGCTCGCAGCCATCGTGGTTTGATCACTGGAGCATTTGCAGAGCTCAGCACCCAGCCCGAGTCCTCGATGCTCAGCACTTGCATTAACCAGAGCCTCTTGCTAAAGGGAAGGTAGAGATGTTGCATGAGAAGCTGCCAGCCCCAATATTCACCCATGGCTGCACAAGTGCCAGCCTGGGAGGGACACGATTACCTGCCAGGCCACCTGGAAGGAACACGCACGGCAGCTCCTACCCTTTGATGCCACACGAGGCTTTAATGGGCACTTAGGAAAGGTTGCAGAGCATCTTCAGTTCTCATCATCTTCACTCGGCTCGGTCATAGGGAGGTCAGGGGAAATCATCTAAGCACTCAGGTACATGGAGGCTTGGAAATCACTGCAGAGCCAAGGCCCTACGTGCACCCATGCACAGGGCATGTGTCTTGCACCAAACTAGAAGTTCTTGTCCTCCATGATGGCAGGGGTTGGAACTGGATGAGCTTAAGGTCCTTTCCAACCCAAACCATTCTATGATTCTAGTTCTAAGACCACAGACAACAACCTCCACACCTCAGTCTGCTCCATTTCGCTTTTGGTTACTGCTCTACTTCCATTTCTTGGAAGTCTTCCCAACTGGAAACAGTAACACTTGAATAACTCCATCCCTCCTTACGTGCTCCTGCGTAAATCCCTCCGACAGACCGAATGGAACATGTTCATCTTCCTTTGCTGGCAGAGTTTGGCTTTGCTGTGCTGTCCTGCCACGGCCACTGCTCTGCTTTATCTGTGCATTTCTTTGGCCACCATCCCAGAGCAGAACCAACCCCATGACAGACAAAATGACCCTTGGAGAGTCTTTCCACGCCAAGCTCCACTGAGGCTGCCTGCTGGTTGCCAGCAAAGGCTGGAAAGAGGCAATTAGCACTCCATTCACACCCATCGCCTTGATTTTGCTTTATTAAACACAAGCAGGGGTGGGTCTCTCCTCCCCCTTTCTAGGCAGGAAGATGAACACGTCTCCATCCCTGCCTCCCATGCCCCAAAGCTCACCTGCTCCTTAGCAAGGTGCAGATTCCTCAAACCTGGCACCCGGCACGGAGCCGATTCCTGCGGCAAAATGTGGAGCTTCATTAGAATAAATGTAATGCAACGCTCCTGACCACTGGACTGGAATAAACGACTCTATGTTCTACCCTCTCATTTTCATCAGTGATATATTTGGCTTCTAAATCAGGTTAATTAAAAATTGCTGTAGTTAATGTTGGATAAGCAGCAGTTTAACAGACTTTCTTTCGGGTATTTTTAAGCTACATAAAACCATGTTGTCATCAGAGGCAGGAATATACACAGCAATCAAGCAGCTCCTCGCAAAGTTATTTGCAGACCCTGTGATTGCAAGCAGAACATTAATGAGGAAGATCTTGAATCAGAAATATCCCTGCCTACTCCCTTCATTACAGGATAACCATTTGTTGTCCAGCACATTCAGTGCTCCGAGGTCCTCTGGTTGCCTCTCAAGCGCAATGATCCCACTTTGCCTCCTGACCTATCTGGCTGGGGTGTTAAACCAACTCCAGCTCACTTCGTGACCACACCAAGTGGTCAATTACATTCCCTATAATTCTCTCACCTGTGTTTCTACACTGGCTTTTACCTCCTCAGCACACAGTTTGGTAGCCAATGGCTGTGCATGCATGCCATGGTGATGGGAAGTTCCTTGCTCATCAACGGGTTAGGATCTAGATGATAGCCTCTTGGGGCATCAAGAGGTTCTTCTGGTCTTTGCTGCTGGTTAATCCCTCCAAAGAAGTCCTACTGTTACAGTAGTCATAGAATCACAGGATGGTTTGGGTTGAAGGGACCTTAAGCTCCTCCAGTCCCAACCCCTGGCACAGGCAGGGACCCCTTCCACTAGAGCAGGTTGCTCCAAGCCCCTGTGTCCAACCTGGCCTTGAACGCTGCCAGGGATGGGGCAGCCACAGCCTCTCTGGGCACCCTGTGCCAGCACCTCAGCACCCTCACAGGGAAGAGCTTCTGCCTTAGATCCAACCCAAACTTCCCCTGTTTTAGTCTGAACCCATCTCCCCTTGTCCTGTCACTCCAGTCCCTGATGAAGGTCCCTCTCCAGCACCCTTGTAGCCCCCTTCAGACACTGAAGCTGCTCTGAGGTCTCCAGCAGCTTCTCTTCTCCAGGCTCAACAGCCCCAATGTTCTCAGCCTGGCTCCATACAGGAGGTATGAAGACATCCTCATGGCCTCCTCTGGACTTGTTGCAACAGCTCCATGTCCTTCTCATGTTGAGGACACCAGAACTGTACACAGTATTCAAGTGGCATTCACCAGAGCAGAGCAGAGGGGCAGGATCACCTCCTTCGACGTGCTGGTCATGCTCCTTTTGATGCAGCCCACGATAGTCCTTAATTATAGTCTTTAACTACCAGTCATTAAGTCAACAACCATGCCAAACAGAGTTCTGTGTGGCTACATGCAGCGTATGTTTCATCTGTGTCTCCTGAGATACCACCAGCCCTCACAAACCACCAAATGGAGCAAAATGCCTCTCTTTTACTAGGAGCAAAACTTTCAGCATCAGGTTTATATGTAAAACACAAGCCTGAAATAAAGCAAAGCGCAGGAAAACTGTGGCTCTGGGTGAGCTTTGCCACCCAGCCAAGTACTGAAAGACTTCATTTGCAGAAGTGACTCAGAGTAGGCCTGCAGAGAAGGACTTGGGGGTGTTGGGTGAGGAGAAACTGAACATGACCTGACCTCAGTGTGTGCTTGAGCCCAGAGCCCCCCGTCTG